TGCCTCGCCACTTGACCACTTGCCCACTTGCCTACCTTCTAGAAGGTCTACAGCTAAGCTTCCGGAACTCATTAAGACTTCTACGCTATAGACCTACAGATCGAACCCCTGCTGCCTATGGACCTACGACAGACCTACCGACTGTCTGCGAATACACAGGTCACAGGTTCAATCCTCGGGATCTATACAGATACTGTACATAGGTAGGGTGAGGTCTAGGGATCGAACCCTGGGTACTGCATCCGCTACTGCTAAGAGGTGAAAACCGTTTCAATTTTGATCTGGTTTTATTTATTACTATTCTTCATTCTATTGTGAGGATTGAGCCCTCAAGTAGGGGCCTTGCCATGATGTACATGTTCTGGGCTAAGGCCCCAGCAAGCCTCGTGCCCGCCCTAAGTGAAGGCGGGCCAGCAAATCAACAAGAGCCCTATGTGCAAACATTTCCCGAAGTGGGGTCCATACAGTTGCAGCACGCCAGTTGGTTGGAGTGCACCGAGTCTCGAATCTCTGCAAATGTAGAGATCCCAGGGCCTCTGAGTTAGTTAGGCCCTGGGCACTTGAACGTGAGGCCGACAATGCATGCTGGGTATAGAGGCCRAAAATGCCAAAGGGAAATCGGCCCACTATCTGAATCTGGGCGCAGGCCTTGACGAAAGAGGTGCAACTGCATCACCCGGGCCTCAACAGTAATGGGCCTGGGTTCAGCCACTGGGGCTCGGACGCAGGCTGAAGGGAGGCCGCCCACACGCAGCACTGGCATATAGGCAAGCAGGGCGAGTGGGCAGGGATCTTGGCCATTGCGAGCAAGGCCGGCACGCTGCTGCGTTGCATGCATGCTGCGCTGCGCTAAGGGCTGAGAGCAGCAGGACAGCGCTAGGCGGTAGGGCGCTGCCTGTGTGCGCAGGGCGCTGGTGGCCATAGTGGGGCTGCTGGCGGGCGCAGGGGAGGTGAGGGCGAAGGTGGTTCTTCGGAGGTGAAGGGCGCTGTGTGGGTACAAGGGAGAGTGTGGGTGAAGAGGACACGTACCTGGTGGAGGTGGAGGTCGGCATTGGTGTTGACATCATCACTCGCTGGTAGTCAAGTTGTCTGGTTGCTTTCATTGCTGTAGTTGTAGTCTAGGCTGTAGGGTAGATAGGGCGCCTGGCGCCATTCATAAGAGAGAGCTACATTGGGTTATGCTGTTGGTGTTGCCCTGTTGGGCATGGACATTGACTCACGATTCTTCTGTATCATTCTCAATTGGATGGTTACTCGGTTCCATTGTGCTATCTGCTATGGCTTTGACTACTTGGACTTCAGTGTGATATTGCATTCTGGATTTCTGTGCTTCGTCCATATTCATGTTCCTTGCACTATGAGAAACTTTTAAAAATATCCTCGAATTTTCTTCATCCAATCATCATCTTTTTTTTTCTCTTTTTTTTTTTTACAACTTCGCAGGAGGGGTTCACTTGAGGAGGTGGTAAGAGCATCCTCCTCAAGTGGCCCCTCCGAATAAGGCTCCATCTATGGGTGGGGAGCTGCACCTGCTGGAAACCAGGTCCAGCACTCTGTAATGTGATATCACATTACAGAGTTGAGGTTGTCTACTGTAGTTTGGCCTTCGTGCTGCTGAAAGACTATTGTTTCCTATAGTCTTTATGTTGGCTTCCTTTTCTACCTCATACTCGTGCTCGCTGCAGGGCTAATCCGAGTCCCTTGAGTTACACTACAGTGCTGGGGTCGTTGTTGTGTAGCCGTTGTGTACTGGCATGGCCCTTTAACAGCTAGCTTCTACCCCTCGTCCCCCTTTCTGTTCGTTACGTTATGGCCAGAGAAGGCCGATATCAACCTGACTTCAGGCCGTCATGGTCTTTTTCTGACCAGAGAGTGGCTATCTTACCCCCGGGCCCCTTCCACCATTGGGTATGCACAAAGCTCAGAGATAATGACGCCAAGAACACAACTCAGATTTGAACTTGTCTTGGCCGGCTATGGCCGACACATGTACTCTCAGCAACTTGTTCGTACACACACACTGGATCTCCCTGGATATCCCGACACACACATACACACTCAACTCTCTCTCTCTCACACTAACACCCTACTGACCTGCTGACATGACGGCTATGGCTGCCGTCTATCTCATACCACTAACACCTTCGGCTATGGCCGTTCTTCCTCCTCTTAGCCCTCTACTCCACGGGCACCTGCAGACCTCCTTGCACAAGGCACTCAGGCAGCGCTTCCGCATGGCTCACAGGCAGAATGAATGAATGACTTCACGCTGCCTTCTGATTTATTCTTCGGATTGTCAAAGGTCTGCCCTTGGACACTGGGCCCAGGGTGCACACAGTCCCACATGGTACTTGCTGACTTGACAAAGTGCGACCGGAGCTGGGTACCGCTGACTGGGCAGAGTTGGTCTGCCCACTTGCCCACTTGCCTACGGTCTGCCTCCTAGGACCCTACGAAAGGTCGCTTCCAGACCTTCCGGAAGACTGCAGCCTTGACCCTTCAGGACTGTAGCAGCTACAACCTTGACCTTTCGGTACTGTAGCAGCCACGACCTCTACCATTGCTAGGACTCCTAATCTACAGACCTACTGTTCGAGACCCGACGACCACACTACCTACAGCACGCAAACAGAAGACTTTCAAGACACAGGTCGGGGGT